GTTAATTGGCCAGTTTTCTCACTTCTTTCTTCTGGTCTGAAACAAGGCATACTGGAGTTTTCAGTTTGAGTTGTCATGACATCTATTAACCTGTGGCAGGAGATACAGCAAACTGGTAGTGCGTGGATTATACACAGCGTTGTAATTTGGCCTTCTCCAGAGAGTTGGAAACAATCAATTTTTTTAATTCAATCTTTATGCATATATGTTGACACTTTTGTAACATATAAACTATGGATTTGCATTTGAGGTAACTTACTTTCCTGGCCTACTGAACAGAGATTTTAATGTGCCTTGTGATATGAATTTTACAGTGTATTTTTATGTTCATTTTGAGAAAATTCCTAAAAGCGTTTATGGCTGCTTTTGCGTTCAATTTTAGTGGATTCAAGCCTGATTACAAATTATGCGTATCATTTGTATATACGACCTTGTAGTTACTATTCTATAAATATGCAGATCTAAACCCTATAAATATTGGAAAGATATAATTCATTTTAAGTGGCAAGATCGGATGTACTATTTCTGTTAGCTAATTTGATTTAAAAATTAATAGTGATTTTGAAATTGTGGAGGGAGAATAGAGATATTAAAGAAAATTGGTTATCTTTTTTGTATAAAATTTTATAAAACAAGGTAGCTTGTGTCTCCCTTTGATACAGAAGCAAGTAATGACTTGAGATTTTATACTCAGAATATGGGAATTTTTTTTTTTCCAAAAGATTATCTTCCAAAATCTGTTAAACAGAAGGATTTTTATTGTATAGTACCAGAAGATGCAATAGATAAAATGTAACCAGTAGTACAGCTGGCTACATACAACTACTGAACAGTCTGCAGATATCAAATTGAAAAAAATAAATCAGAATGATTAGCAAATAAAAGCATCTGTGAAGCTGTAAGTCTGCCATCTGCTGTTCAGTGGTTTTGGGCCAGTCTGAGCTGCTCAGAGCTTAGTTATTTTTCAGTACTATTACAATTCGGTTATGCTTCTGAATATTTCTGTGTATAAGTGCATATGATAATCATGTGATGAAGTAATAGAACTTTTTTGGGCATAATCAAGGCAAAATCTGTGGAAATAATATCTACATTCTTTCTAGCCCTGGTTAGCAGGATTACTACAGACCCACAGTTAGTTTTTCCAAAAAATTAAGTTACTGGTCAACAGTATCCCCCTTTGATCATTATTATTAACATCCTTTTTTGACTAAAAATAACTTCTGATAAAATGTTGTTTCCATCATGATGCTTCACTGTCAAACTCTAAAGTAGCCTCAGTTCTAAGCAGGCTTTGCAGCCAAGAGTTTCATTTTTACTTCAGTAAATACTGCTTTGGTGATTTTGGAAAAATAATCTGTCTTACAGTAAGTAGTTCAGGACTGCATAGAAGATGTTCTCACAAGGAATATCTGAATCCTTCATAAAATAGTCACTATTAAACGCTGCATTTCAACATAAACATAAGAAATTGGAGTATTTAAATACAATATTATTTTAGATGGGAACAAAGCTATGATTAGAACATTTTACAATTCATTTTGGTAGTAAAAAAAATAGTTAAAAATGTAAATGTTTGAGATGAGGTAAGGGGAGGGGGAAATATTAAGAGGAAAATTGTAGAAATTGTAATATTTAGAAATTATGGCATTAAAAATCATATTTTGAGAAGTACATCTGATTTTTTTTCTTTATGTATGTTGCTTCCTAATCAAATCAGTGTGTGATACCAAAATGCTATGCTTAACGTTTTCTTTGAATGGAAAAGATTATGCTATGAACTCTTCCTCATTCAGTTCTGTTGTGCTGAATAAGCAGAGGTGGGGTTTTTCCTAGTCTGTTTATAGCTTGTATGTAACAACTATGGCAACATCTGGCTGATCCTTTCGCTATATACTGAAGTATATGAGCAGCTTTCAGTCTGAGTATCCCTTTGCTGGAGTAAAGGCTTTATCTACATTAGAAATATTTGGGGAAAAATAAATCTTAGTTGAAAATGTCAGGTATTTAAAATTGTATTTTAAGGTTTACTGATACAGAATTGAGGTTATCTCATTTCTTATTAAATATTTTTGTTGTAAATTTTTGTTTACTTTAAAAAGATATTCTTACCCCTAATGCCTGTGGTTTATTTCTGAAATCAAATGTTTTGTTTAGAATTTTTGTCAAGTGTTTGCCTGCACTCCAGGATTTGAGGTATGCATTTCTAAGGCAACAAAATTAATGCAACAATGGAATTTGACATTTGAGGGACTGAAAACATAGTGAAGCTGTCAAAAGAAGTCTTAAATGGAAGTCTTACATAGTCTGGATACAATTTTTAATTTGAGTACGTCCTCTGTGGGCATACACCAGGTGTGCTCAAACATACAGTTAAACATTGAATGTGAGCAATCTTGGTTATTTATGTAGTTATGCAGTGGAAAGTTAATGTGTCCATCACAGAATACAAAGTAGTTTTCTTCTCTTTCCTCCTGGATTACAAAAAGCTCCATCTTTCTGCTTAGGTTTTCTTCCTCTAGCTGGTGAATTGACAACAGAAGACTTACAGACTTTGCAGCCATATGTGCCTAATCAACCAGAGAATACTTAAATTGGACAAAGAAAAAGTTAAAATAGAAACCATTTACCACTGGTTTTATTTTCTCAGAATTTGTCCGATTTTTGTTAAAGAACTGTCAGCTATGTCATTTGCTGTATTCTTGTAACTCTGCAGTTTGTTGGCTAATATTTAATAGCCCTCATTCTTCTAAAATCCTTCAGAAAAGGAATAGCATATATGTTGATATGCAAGTCTCTTTCCTACATAGTTCTGTGAAATTGAATGAGTAAACTATTTGTAAGTTTAAACTAATTTTTAAAGACTGTGCGTTTATTTAAGGAGCCCAAATGCAATTCTTAATCTGCAGCAAGGTTTTCTTGGAGACAAAGGAAGGCCTTATTGCTAACAAAGGGCTGGAAATTAGAAAAATGCTCCATGCTCTGCTAATGAGAATGTTTCATGTGTACAAAGATTGCTCTATTAATATCTACAATAGCAAAGTCTATGCTGAAGATCATCTTAAATCATATAAAAAATGTAGAAGCTGACTCCATTCTAAAAAACAAAGTAACAGCTGTCCTTGATCAAACCAAAAGTCCACTTGGCACCGTATCCCGTTTCCTACAACAGTTTGGCAATGGCAGAAGCCAAAGCAAGTAGAGAAGACCAGGGCAAGCTGTGGGTTTTACTGTGAATATGTTTAAGAATTCTGTCCCATACCATGTAATGTTAAGTACTCAACTAATATCCTTTAACCAGACATTTTTCCTATCTTTGTGCAAAAGAAGGGAAAAAAAAAAAAAACAAACCAAACAAAATGAGGTAATTTTTTGCTTTTTTCCTAAATCACCTCTGATTTGTCTGTGTTACCACAAAACTCGGAAGAGGCATTGCTTTCTTTTGAAACTTTTCTAAAGCAAATAAATTCCCACTTTCCCTGAGAGACTATTTTTTCACGTAATTTCATTCTTGAAGAAAAATAAAAAGAGATAATGCCTGATAGTTTAGTGTAAAAATGCTAATTTTCTCAAGTACAGAAAGTTTTATAGGACCAAATATCAAGAAACCATTATTTTTTAAAAAGGGTCACATGGAAATATATTTCTGGGTTTCAACACTAGTTTATAAGTTGCAAATGCTCTTGATTTTGTTTATAAAAATTAAACCAATAAGTTTGTTAATTTATGTTTTCCCGTTTAAACTGTGTAAAATGTTAAATGAAAATAGCATAAAGTGGAGAAAATAAACCAGATATTTGAAATTATTCAGGGTTAATGACATGAAAAAAGTGACTAAGGACACTTTTGTAAGTATTGTTAGCTAGACATTTTTGGGTTTGCTTGCAGAAAGACTTTTTAAACAAACTGTTTTAAAAAGTTGTTTAATTACAGTTTCCCAATTTAATGCATAAGTAGAGGTTTGTATTGTTTACATTTTCAGACTTTGTAAGACACAAGTCTGGGCACATGGTTGAGCCAGCCCAGGCCTGGGTGCTTGTTGATCTCATCCAGGTGATATTTCTAGATGCGAAGTAGCACTGACCCATGTGGCTGTAGCAGCTTAGGACCCTGATCATTTGGCCTCTGAACTCTTCAGCCTCTACACTCAGCAAACGTCACCTTTTTGCACTCTTTATTATATACTCTTGCAGCAGAAACTGCTGCTGCTTCTTCTGCCTGTTTTTCACCTCTATTGATCTTTTTTGTTGCAGTTCATGTCATCAGTTGTTTCTTCCTTTTCACCAGTCTTTCCCCCTTGTGTTAAATCTGATGGCTCCCACACTTCTGTTTCATAGCTGTGTAATGGAAAAATACAGTAGGGAGGTATATCAGCAATGTATTAAGTGTGCATAAATCTTTGGAGCTAAAACCGTGTTCTAACCTGCATCAAACAAATGCTGCTGCTGGTTTTTGTTTTGCATTAAGGACTAGTAAATTTGGGTACATCTTCACAATTGTGGCAAAAAGCACATACTTGACACAAAAGCCTAAATCAGATTCAAAATTCCTACACTAAAACTAAGGGCTACCAGAGTTTTTCATGTTAAGCTCTGAAAATTTTATTGCCTAGCCTTGCAAAACTTCGCTACTTTTATGCAAATGGCTAATCTGTTTGACAGGCATCTTTTTCTACCTGTCCTGTACCTCTCTGCCCTGCCTGCAAGGCATCAGGCCTGAGCATATGCTTATTATGAAACATTTCAACCTGAACGGTTACAATCTGGTGAAGTTATGTGTATTGGATAGTTGGTGCTACAGATCAGTCTTACTGATCTCTTTTTCTAAGAAATTAGTAGAGAAGAGATTGTAAACTTGATGAAATGGAGAGGCATATCCCAAATGCCGCTTAATCTATTTTATTTGCAGGCTTGTGTTTTAATATAAATTTCTTCTTTTGGTTTTGGTTGGTTTGGTTTTTTTGTTTTGGTTTTTTTGGTTTTTTTGTTTCTTTTTTGTAGAGTAACTACATGGTGTTCATGGCAGAATTGTTCTGGTGGTTTGAAGTGGTGAAGCCATCATTTGTACAACCTCGAGTTGTTGTGCATCCCCAAGGTAATTTAATTATATTAAGGATTTGGTTTAGTATGTATGTGTACAGATTGCCATTGTGTTCACAAACACAGTGAATATTTTAGTTAACAAGATTTGGTGGTGTACAGCCCCCTTAAAGAAGGAGCAAAGTACTCCTTCCTCGTGTTAATCTTCATCTCATCTCATAAATGATAATTAGATTTTGTTGTCTATTACCAAAAAATCATTTAAATTGTTGTGGTACAATCACTTGCAAATTTTCCTCACCTAAGCAAGCCTAGAATCCATTTATGCCCATGTAGGGATAACAAACGTAATAAGGAGCCAAGAAGAGATTTTAGCCTGAAGAGTTTGTATTGCTGAGGAGAAGATACCAAGAGAAAGGAACATAAATCTGGGGAAAGTGGACAGATAGTTAATTGTAAAATTGCATTTTGTACCTGGGTGCAAAGGCACAGTCCTCCATCAGTAAATTCTCAAATTTAAAAATCCACCTCTTGGGTAGATCTTGAGATCTGTTAATGAGTACAGAGTCATGGTAACTTAAAGATTCGTACAGTAGTGCTGTGATTGTCTCTCCAAGAGCTGGGAAGAGATTTTCATTATGTGGCTTTTATACTTTTTTTTTTTTTCCACTTGTATGCTTTATAGCACATATAAATCTGATTTAAATCTTTTGAATATTGCTAACCAATTTAGGATATGACCAAAATACTATTTTCTAGCTAAAATGTCAGTTTGGGGATTTGGGGAAAAAAGTCTTTATCAGAAAAATGTCTTCCAGAAGAATAATATTTATTTTTGCTAAAAAGATTGCTTGCTTTTAATTTTGTGGCTCTTTTTCAGTTTTTTTTCTTTATTATTTCTTCTCTTGCCTTTTCTAGTAATATTTGTCATTCTCCATTCCCTTAATTAGTGTCAGTATGGGAGCTTTGGAGGAGGTAAAGCTGAAAGTGACTGGGTTTTAATCTAAATAATGGAACCAATGAAAATTCTTTAAATCTTTGGAAATCATTACTTCACATTATTTCAGATGCTTTTCTACTATGGGTTTTAACTGAATATTAAACTATCATAACTTGAGCTTTGTTCTTCCTGGCAGTTGAACCTGCAAAAGATTTACCTTCTGCTCACAGCTTGAATGCTAACAGAAGAAATTATGTGGATGGCCCATCTGGTTCTGACTTCATAGCCAGGTAATGTCAGGGAATCATAAGTACTGTTTCACAATTTTCTCCTTTCTATTCAAAATTAAACACAGTTTTTTATTTAGTTTTGTTGCCTTTTTGCAATGCACAAGGAATGAGTTACCAAATATAATCTGTAGAATTTTGTGGAAGATCCCATAGTTCAGCTATTTCCCTCACTGCCCCATTGCGTAGCAGGCAATGTGTTCATGTTTGCCACTTGGACAGTGTACTGTTGTCTTAGCAGTTTCCAAAACAACCCTTACCATTGAGCAGAAGTATGTTATATGGCCTCCTTGTCCTCTTCAGTTTCATGTGGGGCTGCTGGCCAAGTCTGCTCTGAAAGAGCTATTTTTCTGGAAATCACAACAAATTTTCCAAAAAATGGTAAGAAAAGTAAACTAAGATAACAGCAAGAAAACCACTGAGTGATGGTTTTAGTATTATCTGTTACTTAAGTACCATGAAGGTCAAATATGTAAAAATAAATACTTGCACTATGATGAACTTCCCAAGTCTTGTGAGCATCAAGAATGGAAAGCTAACTGCTTTATTAAATATGTTTTGCATTATTTCTATTTTTTGTAAATGATGTGAAACATTGGTATTACTGTTACAGATTTGGGAGCAATATAAAAACATCCTGTTTCCCTTGTGTTCTCCAATGACGTAGCTGATGATACGTTTGATTCAATTCTCAGGGCAGACCTTATCACTCTCTACAGCTACCTGAAAGGAGGTTGTAGCAAGGTGGGGGCTGGTCTCTTCTCACAAATAACAAGTGATAGGACAAGAGGAAACCACCTCAAGTTGCACCAGGGGAGGTTTAGATTGGATATTAGGAAAAATTCCTTTACCAAAAGGGTTGTCAAGCATTGGAACAGGCTGCCCAGGGAAGTGGTAGAGTCACCATCCCTGGAGGTATTTAAAAGACCTGTAGATGTGCCACTTAGGGATGTGGTTTGGTGGTGGACTTGGCAGTGCTAGGTTAATGGTTGAGCTTGATGATCTTAAAGGTCTTTTCCAACTTGAACGATTCTATGGTAAGAGGCAGAAATTGCATGTTAGGCCTTCTTTTTAACCTTTCTTTTCACAGGGTGAAGAAAGCCTTCCAGTGATCTGATCTGAACATAGTGGATGAGGGGTAGCATTGCATATAATTTGGGGGCAAAGGTTTATTGATTGTGTCTGAACTGACACAAAGGAGAAGGATAAAATTAGCATTTTAATCAGATGTTCGGCAAATTGTTGGTTGCCAACCTAGCTAATCCTTTTCTGTTGTTTTTAGATGGGGTTTGGGGGGGGGGATAGAGGAGTGTTTGGTTAGTTTCAGGGTTTGTTGTTTGTTGTGGGTTTTGGGTTTTTTTTACTGTTTGGAAATCTATGCTGACTTTAATCAGGGAGCAATATTTCTTAGTGTCATTAAATGCTGTGATTCCAAATCTCTTTTTCCTGTGTGTATCAGAAGTGTTTCCCGTGTAGACAATGAAGTTATTTTAGTGTAAACTGAGCATATAAGCCAGGAGAACAAGAAACAGTAGTTTTGAACGTAGCTTTTGGAACAGGGCTTCCCAAGACCATTTGCACCTTGCAAAGCCACTGCAAGCAGTCCAACAAAGGGCTTGTAACTATGACTGTCCTACAGAACAAAGAAAGGTTTGCAATAAAAATCGCTATTTGTACGTGGCTTCCAACCTGATGTCCCCCTTTTAGAGCCCTTCATGAACAAAACTTCAGTGACTTATGTTTTAGTAGTTCTACGAAGATAGTAAATCATGTCAGTTACACTTAAAAACAAATGAAACTAAAGAAACAGTTCTGTGCCATACTTATTCTTGTGCTGTAGTGTTCATTGTGGAGAAGACTTTCTTTAAATGTAAATAAAGTTAGTAGATGAATACTAGACAGCAAGACCAGAGAAGTCTATCTGTAGCCTTGACTGTGTGGGAAAAAAAAAATCCCCACAGCTGAAGCCATTAACCATGCATTTATCCCTGCTCTGACAAATTCTGTCAGTAACATAGCATCTTTTTCATCCAAATAAATCTATGTTTTCTCTAAATGTTTACATTCTGTCTGTGCAGATGGTTTTGGCCTCTAAACTGGAGAGGACTGACTGGAAGTTTTACAATAAGCATCTGAATCAACTTAATAAACACTTACAAAAGCCTTTATGTTTCTTAGTGCTATTACCATTCCAGATTTAACCGTCAAGTCTGTAAGTTGCCACCACTGTGTTTTATAATACTGCTAATGTTTCCTGAGACATGTTCAGATATACAGTAAAGATCATTGTGAAGCCCTTATGGGTGGTGAGTTGCATATTGTACTAGCTCATCACAACACTGTTTTAGTGTCTCTACAAGTGGTGGATATGGTTTTGTGTTGAGTAATAGAAAGAGCCACATCTTTCCTCATAAGCCAGTGTACTTCATCTGACTTGATGATACTTCACTCATTGTAGGACAGAGGAGGGACCTAAGAAGGTATTTCAGATGGTAGGAATCTAACGCCCAGGCTGCAGGTTCTCTGGCAGAGCAGACCTGACTGCAGGATGTTGTGGTCCTGGCCTTCCTCCTTGTCCCAACTGCACGTGCCTGCCCATTGAGTGTTTGACATTGTCATTTTAGTGCACAAAGACAGAAAAAACTAACCCAGTTGGAAAAAATGAATGTTTTTCTGTTGGCTTAGCTTGTTGCAATGACTCAGAGGATCGGATGGAGAGCCAGATCCAGCACAGAGGAGGGAGTGGGACTGTGGCGACAAGCACTTATGATGTCTGTGGTTGCCATGGAAACACAGTCACAGTGCCAAAATCAGTCTTTTCTTGAGGGAAAATGAAATGTATGGATTTTCTTTGTGGTCGCAAATTTTCACAGGCTGCTGGATGAAATTTTGAAAGCATGCTTTTCTTTTAAGATAACTTATAGACATTATATCTATGATTTTTAAACTTTCATAGAAATCTCAAATGCTACTTAAAACAGGTATGTAGCTAGTGTGTAGTGTTATTAACACAAAAAATCAGGAATTTATGAGAACCTATTTTGAATAGTATATATTTATGAAAGACGTTTTTGTAGATTGTAAAACAACAATATTTTTCTTAAATTGATGTGAATATCCTACCCACAAATATAATTTAGAAACATTTCTAAAGCATACTGTATATAAACTATAATAGCACTAAACAAATATTTTGAAAATTACTGAGTAAAAAAAAAGAGAGTTTGGGAGTGTCCTCTTCAACTCAGTGAACAAAATTCAAAGCATGAAAAGATTTAATCCAATGTGTTTTTTAAGTCTGGCTTCTTTATAAGTGTTTTACATAAATATGCATGTGTCTGTGCATGTGTCTTTGTTCTGATCCTGAAGAAGCACCTTGATCAAAACACTGTATTATGTTAATCCTATTCTGGATTAACGCAGCTAGTCTATTACAGACCTTCTCTATGAACCAAAAAAAGTATCTGTTGTAAGTAGAAACAGAGGAAATCTTTGTCATTACTGTTTCAGTAGTGAATATATTTTTTTGTATTTATAAAGTCATGTCTATCAAAATCTCCTTTATCCACTTCTAGTGCATATTGCAGTCCAGACACAAAGTAGGAGTTTCAGACTAAGCAACTGAAAAGAGAGATGCATGAGAAGTATGTGATAGTAGCTGTAGTCACTCAGTTTTGAGGCCAGTAGGAACTGCCTCATTTTGTTCATGTTTATGTTTGGGTTTTTTGCTAAAATCAAACTTAAAAATGAGAACCTTCTAATAATGGTATTTACATGAACTAAATTGGGAGACAAGTATGTTAACAAAACTAATGCCACTCTGTGGCCTTTTGTGTAGGAGAAATACCTTTTTGACATTTTGGTCTATTGAATTAGGTCCAGTTAAAGACAATAACACTGTTCTCTTTTTAGTTAATAAATTAATATTTCAATGAGAGAATTACACCTCATTTTCTTCCCTGGCACAAAAAATAAACCTGTTTTTTTGTTGGCCCAGGACATGAAGTCTGGTTGCCCTTTTGTAATGTGGCTTTTGATGTATTACTTTTAAGTTAATGTCTCTTGCTTTATAGATTGGAAAGTCCAACTTATACACCATCTCACCAACTCCATACACCCCAGCAGTCTTATTCATCTGTTCCAGGTAACAATTTATGAATGAGTGCAAGAGGCAATGAGACAAGGTGTCATCTTCTGAGTAAATTGCTATCTTGCTTGTATTTATTCAAAGACTATTTATGCAGAAATTACTGGGAGAGCTTTCATGAAAGGCTAATGAATGAGTTCTATGATCTATAAAATGTACAAATGGGAAGTTTGTGTTTGTACCTTTTGTGTCTATTTTTTTAATTTTACTTCTGTTTTGATTATGTGGAATATGGCTTACAACAAGTATTTGTATGTAGTATATTTTAGTAGTATTTGTAGTATATTTTACTGAGTAGTAAATTCTTCAAGGGATGAGGGGTATAATACATATTCAGGATTCAATTGACTCAGTTGCCCTACTTGTATTCTCAATATAAAACCACTTTTTTTTTGCCATTGCAGTGTTATAAGTAGTGAAGCAAAATAATTTGTTAAAGCAACAGAAAGTGATTTCAAAAATCATTTCTCATAACAGTTACCTTGGGTTATATTTTAATTTCACTTAGGAGTCATCAGGCGGTCCACATCAATGTCTTATGTAGATGGGTATGTAGGGACATGGCCCAAAGAAAAAAGGTAAGTAGGCTTACCGTATGAATTGGTTAAAAAAATTATTATTTATCGGTCATAAATAGTAATAAATGCTCCATTGTAGTTTGGATTTTCAGAATCCTGTAATAAGAGTTCTTGTAAGCAACTTGTAAGAGTAGAAAGAGAAAACTGTATCATGGATTAAGAACTCAGTAATAGGAAACAAACTTCAGAAATAAATCATCTATTCTTTACATTGAAATGAGGTATATGTGAGAGATTTGAATTGCTGGTATTAAATATGTTCACATTTACTCATCACAGTCAACTAAAAGTGGTAAGAGTAACATAGCTAATGAGCTCAGTAGTATTTAAACTTGTATTACTTTGTGGATAGTAAGGACAATCAGGCTGAATGTTTTGTTTTGCAGTTAGACTGGTCATAAACTTTTAATCTGTAAGGTGTAAACTAAAGTTAAAATGGTAAGAGTTATAGTGGTGGGTTATTCAGTAAGTAAAAATTTTGTCTCTCTTCACACCTTCCTTCTGATCTATTATGGCAATTGCTATGTTCCTAAAATGCCTATAATTTATTCCAAAGTAATAAAAAGCATTGGCTATCTGTGAAGAAAATGTTGTTACATTATATTTTATTGTGCATTTCTATTTATTACATTTATATCTGTTTATTAAATATATAAATATATGTATTTGTATTATATTATATTGTATTGTATTATATTGTATTTGAAGCTAGGCAAAATGCAGTACACCTAACAGTGCCTTTAATACTACAGTCTTAAAATAATTTTAAAACGGAATGTGGATACTTCATTTCTATTAATCATGAGTTGTTACTTCCTTTATTCTCATTTCTATTAGGTCATCATTACATGGAGTTTCATTTGACATTTCTTTTGACAAAGAAAAAAGTATTCCAGTAACTACTCCAAACAGAGGAATGACTAGATCTGTGAGCAATGAAGGCCTTACACTAAACATCAACCGCATGCCGAAACATATTAGAAAAAATCTGTCCTTCAAACCAGTAAATGGAGAAGAGGAAAATCAAGATATTGAAGAGGAAAAGGACATGATAGCTCATAAAGACACAAAGGCCAATCAGCCTCTCAACACAAATAAAAAAAATGCCAATGGGAGCAGCTGCCACAGGTTTCCAAATGGAGCTTTGCAAAACAGGGCAGTTCTGGATGATTTTGGCAATCAGATTGAGACACCAAGCATTGAAGAGGCTTTGCAGATAATTCATGACACTGAAAAATCTCCCAGAGTTATCCAACCAGACCAAATTACAAATGGGTTCTTTCTTCACAATCAGGAAATGAGCATCTTGAATTCAAACATTAAACCAAATCAGTCTACCCCTGATATAATTACAGACACAAAAGGTGCTCTGAGTCCTGTGACTGACAATACAGAAGTAGATACTGGAATACATGTCCCTTCAGAAGATATTCCAGAGACGATGGATGAGGATTCTTCTTTGAGAGATTATACTGTAAGCATGGACTCTGACATGGAAGAACCATCTAAATTTCTCCAGGATTATGACGTGCGAGCTAGCAATCACAGAGATCAATTAAGTCCCTGTCCCAGCTCAGTAAGTACTAAATCACAGGCAGGCAGCAGTGCTTCTTCAAGTTCAGGGGTTAAAATGACTAGCTTTGCAGAGCAGAAATTCAGGAAGTTAAATCACACGGATAGTAGAAGCAGTGGGAGCAGTTCTCAGAAAACCACACCAGAAGGTTCTGAGTTGAACATCCCTCATGTGGTTGCTTGGACTCATATTCCTGAGGAAGCATCTGTTCCTCAAGGAAGAGACACTACACAGTTACTGGCTTCTGAAATGGTACATCTTAGGATGAAACTAGAGGAAAAGAGGCGAGCCATTGAAGCACAGAAGAAGAAAGTTGAAGCTGCATTCACAAAGCAGCGGCAGAAAATGGGAAGAACAGCATTTCTTAATGTTGTGAAAAAGAAAGGTGATGGAGTATCACCTCTCCGAGAAGAAGCAGCAGGGGCTGAAGATGAGAAGGTATTCACTGACAGTAATCAGTTGAAAGAAAAAGAAACTCAAAAATCAGATGAACAAACTAGTAAGACTTCAGAATTAATAAAAGAAAACCCTGAAAATTCTCATAGCAAATGGTTAAAATCTCCTGCTACTCCTATGGATGCTGAAAAGCAATGGAATTTAACAAGCCCCTCAGAAGAAAATTTTAATGAAGGAGATATCTTAGAATATACAAAATCTATTGAAAAACTAAACTCTTCCCTACACTTTCTACAACAAGAAATGCAACGTCTATCCCTTCAACAGGAGATGTTGATGCAGATGAGAGAGCACCAGGCTTGGGTTATTTCTCCTCCTCAGCCTTCTCCTCAGAAGCAGATTCGGGACTTTAAGTCTTCATCAAGGCAAATGGGAACTCCATCTCCTGTTGCACCTTTCTCACAGGAATCTCCTCGCTCTACACATCAATCTCCACAGTCTTCCAACAGGAAGAATGCCTCTTTTCACATTAAAATGCAAAGGACTCCTAGGCCAAATGAACTGAAAATAACACCTCTAAATCGTACCTTGACTGCCCCACGGTCTGTGGATAGTCTTCCCCGTTTGAGGAGGTTTTCTCCAAGTCAGGTTCCCATTCAGACTAGATCATTTGTTTGCTTTGGAGATGATGGTGAACACATAGGTGAACCTCAGTTAAGGGGAAATCTTTTGAAGGAAGTCAAGCCCACAGAAGAGGTAGCAAAAGAAGAAGGACCAAAACTGCTGAAACAGTGTGAACAGAAGTTGGAGGAAAAGGAGATTAAGCCTATTGAATCTAATGTTTCTGAAGTATTAGCTCAGCCTATTACAGAAACTGTCTGCGTCACCCCAAATGAAGATCAGCTAAGCCAACCGATTTTGCCAACACCAGCTCCCAAAACAGCTAACCTAATTGAAGTTTCCTTATCAGATTTGAAGCCACCAGAAAAAAATGAAGTATCTGTTGAGAAATATGAAGGTGAGAGTGATAGAGAACAATTTGAGGATGACCAGAAAGTGTGTTGTGGATTCTTTTTTAAGGTAAGAGAACTAGTGGATGTGTAAGTCTGCTATTAAGCTTCCTTTGAAAGGGAACTTCTTACTTCAGATATGGATTTCATTGATGACTTTCCATTGAAGTCAAAACAGATGGTCCTGCAACTCTAAGTGTACAAGCATATCTTTTACATTTGATGATTAATTTGGCATCGTAAGAGTGGTGAGATTGAACCATACTGTGGTTCTGAGCATGCCAGAGGATCCCTTTCCATTCATAGGTGTGGGAGAGTGCTTGGAGTTTTGGGTGAGGAAGATGCATGCTGAAAGTAGATTTATTTTTAACATAAGCTGTGGTGACCTTAATTAAACATGCTCACATCTCACCCTTACTTCCCCATCCCACCTCCAAATCTAACAAAAAGTTTTTGAAGTACTTAAGAGCCTGCATTTTTTAAAATGTTGAATGTCTCTGAGTTGCACTTTGGAGAAGGTGCTAAGGAATTATAGTCTTCCAAGACTCCCTTTTGAAGTTGGTATTTCAGAGCACTCCCTGTTGTCTTATTAATGAGTTATATTCAGAGAGGCTTTTAACTATAATGTGCATTGTAAGAGAGCAATCTAGACACTGAAAGCCATCAAGATTTTGAATTTCCATCTAAGAATACCCCAAAATCTTGTATCACATATCTGAAACGTACCTTGCTTGTCTGGAAGCATTCCTCAGTTCTAACAAAACATCTGGCTTGATCAGAAGTTATGCTGCATAGTTATTGCTTTTTGTGCTAAATTACCATTATCTCCATACACATGGAGTCTTCCAAAGCTGAATACAGAAGTTTATGCAGTGTGGGATCTGACTCTAAACTAAAATATTTCACTTCGCAAGTTTACTTATATCAGTTTTGAATTTTATGTTTGACTTAAGAAGGAAAAATTCCATTATGAAGTTTTTTAGTAGTCTTAAGAAAAACCTTTTAAAATAAACTTATTTCAAATACTGTAAAAGCATGTTAGGATATTGCAACCCAGTGTACAGAATTAATTGTCTAATGACTTGGCAAAATCAGTTGCTGAATTTAGAGATCTTAATATTTTTGGGTCCTTTTCCTTCAAATGCTGTTGCTGCTAGGATGATCAAAAGGCAGAAAATGATATGGCAATGAAACGAGCAGCATTATTGGAGAAGCGTTTGAGAAGGGAAAGAGAGACTCTGCTTCGAAAGCAGCAGCTGGAAGCAGAACTAGAACATAAGAAAGAAGAGACAAGGTAAAACTACATGTCCCGATCCAAATGATCAGTAACAGTGAACGTAAAAATGTCTGGTTTAGTTAAAAGTGTAACTTCCATGTCAAAAAGCTGCATTTTAATATCTAAGATATTTAATCCTAGAGCCAGATGTGCTGAGGAGCCCAGCTGAAGACACATGCCAGCTGGTCCTGCAAAATAAGCAGGTGTCATCAGTCTGTAGCTCAGACTCAACATACAAGCCCTGCTCGCTTGAGTGAAGCTCCTCAGAGCACTAGCCCACCCTGCACTTTATATTCTGACGGAGAGGGTATCACTTTGGGCTTCTTTCTGCACAAAGACACAATGGTCGCTCAGTTACAGCAGTCAAGCTAATAATCATGGTTTTGATTTACTAGTAACAGTATCCCAAAAAGTTTAAACTGTCTGAAAATTGTAAAAAAATCAAGTTCCTCTTACTGATGTCTGAGAACTTTAAAGTTCCAAAGATCTGATGCCTGTGTTGTCCTCACTGTGCTAGCTAAAACCGTTAATTTGGAAAGTTTCTGCTGCTGAATTTATTTGATTTTTTATTTTTTTTTTTTAGACGCAAAACAGAAGAAGAACGTCAGAAGAAGGAGGATGAACGAGCACGGCGAGAATTTATTAAGCAGGAATATATGAGAAGGAAACAGCTAAAGCTTATGGAAGAAATGGATACTGTCATAAAGCCACGTTCCCTCTCAATCAAACAAAAAAAGCCACGTCCAAAATCTATTCATAGAGATCATATTGAATCACCTAAGACACCAATCAAAGGTCCACCAGGTAACAGATGTTCTTGTGGAAAAAAGAGTCTGTTCATGCTAAAACACCAGCTTGTTTTTTGGTACTAACAGCACATTAGTGTCTTGTGCTAAATTAAAGCTGCCTGTGACCAAACTGGAAAGCAAAATTTGCCAATAGAAATGAAAAGATGAATGTGACTTACCTGCTATGCGTGCATGCATATATCAACAAACAAAAAGGTTAACTGTATGAAAACCCAGTGGAAGCACCAACGTGTGTTGCAGGTTTCATACATGCCCGTGTATTCTTCACTAATCTCTTCTTGCATCTGTAGAGCTAAGAATGAATAAGTTGGGAGATAAGAGATTGATAAATAAAATGGTGATTGTAAGGTAGGAGTAGTTAAACTCCCGCTTAATATAGACAAAATTAAAATTAAAAAGTTACTTTGCTATTTCATGTTTTTTTCTATTTCACTCACCTACTGCATGTATAGTTATGAACATAGCAACACTAATCATGTGGAACAATTTAGTATTCTTTTAGATATCACATAACTGCAGCAATGATTGGAAGATGTATTGCCAATTTACAATTAGAAAAAAGTAACCAGACTGCTCAGTGATCCTTTTTGTTACAGCATCATATAGCCTTGTTATTCTGCAGCATTTTCTCTAGCTGCTTCCCTCCATCTTCCAGTGCAATTTAAAGTATTCCCTTAACACCTTCCAAGAAACCATCCCAAGCTTTAAATTAAGTCTCTTAAGCTCTCTTTCATGAAGACTTATTAACTTTGATTGCATTCTTTGATTTGCATAGTGCCAATATTCCCATGTCCATGCTTCACCTTAATGCTTTCTGAGACTATCCCAAGTAGCTGCAAATGGCTAGGTGTCAGCAAGCTTTTAGATGAAGTGCACCACATATGCATGCAGGTATATTATGTATGGGTGTAAGACTCTCGTATATAAAAGCTCTTACTGACTTTCTGATGCTGGTGTTGGGTCTAATGAACAGACTCTACTACTTGCATAGGTTTATAAGCCTTAACTTTGTTTTTGTCCAGGTTCACAGCTTTATCGTGTTTTTTCAGTATCTAGTCTTTCATTGGCATCGCTGAATACAGGGGACAATGAGAGTGTGCAGTCAGGCAAGAGAACACCAAGGTAAAGCTAAAATAACCATTTCATTTAATAAAAATTGATAATCAGCTATGTAAACTAGTATGAATTTTAAAGAGGCCATGTATATATTGCTTACTCCAAGAATGGGTAAGTTTTCCTGATAGGAGACATTGATAGTTTCCACTGTCAGGCATTAGGGAACCAAGCCATGATCATTTGTTTCACAAATTTTACCAAGTAAACCAGCTGGGCAGCTGTAAATGAGGTCAAAACAAAATGCTATTCACACAGCCTCTTTAATTCATCTGCTTGTATTTAAGTCTCAGCTTGTGGGTATTTTATTGAACTTGTGTGCTACATGCAGCTACGTAGCTTCTTTTCTTTTTTTTAACATAGAAGCTTATTTTCTGGGGTTTTTTCCCCTTAGCAGTTGTACAGGGAAGTATTAAATGTTCAGTAGGACTTCAGCCTTCTCCAAACACCAGAATTTATTTTGCATTAAAAATCACCTGAAAACGAAATAAAAAGAGATAAAAATAACAGAAGATTCTTAATTTTATATACAAAATCTATATTCTAATTCAGAGGAAAATTATTATTCCTGTGTAACTACTTAATTATATTCATAGAAATACTTTTTTTTTTAATAGAAAAGAAATAGGGAAGAAAGGCAAACTAGGAAAAGGGGTTTGATAAGGAGTACTACATGTTACGATATCATGTGTCATGTTTTCTTGGCCACTATGCATTACTCATCAACTCTGACATTCCTGCAGCTGGTTTCAGTTGACTTTTCAATTTTCTTGATGTCTTGAGAACTGACTTTCTGGTTATTACATAAGAAGCTTTAATAACATGATCCGAGTATCCTAACATCTCTTGTCATCTCTTAAAAATGATCAGTTTTAATGAGAGAGGGATTTCTTCCAGCTATATTAGCTATTAGAAAAGGCTTGATGCAGCTTATCTACCCAGACTTTGCAGGAGATGACACCTATCTATGTAGTTTTAGTTGTACCATGCTGTACTATGCTTGTAACGAACAGTACATCTTCCTCTGGCTTTGGATTTGATTTAGAGGGTTGAGACTTTTAAAATATAAAATTCAGTACAAACTGCTGAAAATAAGAGTTGAAAGAATTTTCAGTATCCTTCCAGACCCATACTTTCACCTTTTCCTCGCATCAGAATTGTCTTTTGATGATCACACTGAGTGAATTTCAGTGATAACTGTGAGCTCTCCTTTGTGCAGGTGCTAATCACAAAAGGTGTAGGATGTATTATAAATTGAATTTTCATCTATTGCTGATTTTATTGGAAGTTAGCATGCAGATAAATGTTATTATAATACCACTTTTTTCCTTATTCTCTGCTAGCAGGGCCTTTCTTCTCACTTAGAAAAGCTTTCATTCCAGGCTGAAAATTGCAGTAGCCACAACCAAAAAAAGTTTAAATATCTTGTAATAATTTAAGAAAACATGACAATCTTGCTTAGACCTTTAAATGCAAAACTATTCATGTTTTGAGTGCACACACAGCCTGAGGAATTACAGCATCAGAATTACTGCTTGTGAAAACAAAAATTAGAAAGGAAATTGTTTTGCTGTCTTAAATAGAGCAGTTCTTGCTGCCAGTTGTTGTAATGATAAGTGTAAATGAACTAATGTCTTACTTCACATTCATCATTCTATCAAGAACTGGTTTGTTTGCTACATGACATAACATTGTTTTGCTAGTACCAATGTAAAAGTAACCTGAATTCTCAATTAGTAATAATATTCCACAGCCTAGAATATCTGTTAGGTTTCTGTCCCTCAGATGTAGCCCAAAATTTTACTAACATCCACCTCACCTAAATGCCAACTTCTTGCATCACTCAAAATACTTTATACAGAACATAAACTCAGCTATCCATTAATTTCTTCTGTAAATATTGTGCATTTAGGTTTATACTCTACAATTCAAATCATTGTGTTCTACCTTAATACAGTTTGCCTTCCTTTCATATTAGAAGGCTTCTCTGCTGAACATTGTAACTTTTTTTAATAGAATTTAAAATCAATATTTAGGTCTGAGTCTGTGGAAGGATTCTTATCTCCAAGTCGCTGTGGTAGTCGTAATGGAGAAAAAGATTGGGAAAATGCATCTACAACTTCTTCAGTCGCCTCTGCTACAGAATACACAGGTCAGTCACAACAATATTCAGAAAAGTACCTGGCTATTAGTGGTTCTATGCATGAAAAGTTTTCAATTATCTTTATTTCGTTTCCTAAAACTTGATTGAGGACGCTTTCATAGAAATGTTACTTTCACCTCCTTTAAAATAGATTATAATAATACAAGGTTAAAATTTCAAATCCAAAATAAAAGTACTGATTCAGTAGCATTTGTGATAACTGGAATAAACTGCAGTTAGGCTCAGAACAGCAGATGGGCTCATAGATCACTGCACTTCAGTAGTCTCTCTAGCAAGACAAGAAGAGTTGAAATCTAAGCTCAATTTAGAATAGAGTTCCAAAAAGCAAAAACCAAATTGCAACAGGAAAAAATCTGCTTAGTAATGTGAATTTAAATATTCTGTACCCTTTGCTTCCAAACAGATCCTTTGTTGTTTATTAAAAACTTTACAATCTGACTTATAATTCTTTATTATATTATGAATCAAATAATAATGGTATCTTCATCCCTTTTCTCCAAATATATAGCACGTGATATTGCAAAGACCTTACATTGTGAGGATTATAAAAGCTCCATTTTTGCCCACCTAGTATCACTTTGTTCTGTAAAGAGTAAAATAATGTTAGTTATTTTCAGTAAACTCCTATGGACATCAGTTTTGATTGATGGGCCTGCATAGCTCTGTCTGTGCTGGCAAATGTTTGTTTTGAAAATAATCTTATCTCCTTTCCACTGAAATTACTACAGTCTGGAAAGGCAAAGTGTTCATCCTGAAAATCAGAAGATACTTACCTGTTTTTAAATCATGAAGCTTCAGTCAGTTTCTGTCAGTTTGTGCCCCATGCATGTCAAATGGAATTACAGGAGGGATAGCAAGACTTTTCCTGGGTGGTCTTGCTGAGTTTTCTCATGAAGACCCATAGTGCTGAAGATCATATTTTTTTTATATTTTTTTTATTATTATTATTATTATTATCATTATTATTATTATTTTTAAATGAAGGAAGATACAGTTTCTAGGAATTGAACAGAAGATTTGTTTCACATGTTTTAATATCTTCACTTTGTCAGATTTCATACAGCTTTTCTGTGTTGATTTTAGGCTTTTTTCCCCAAAAGTGTAGGCTAACTGAGATTTAATTTTAAATTTAATTGGTAATTGCTTATATATTATGTGCCTTTCTGAGAGTCGGAATTGGTTTTTCAAATGGTCAAGTGTCAGGCCAGATCTTTTATCCCTGGTTTTGGGTAAATCATTTCTGGATTTCCAAGGTGGACAAGCTACAGTTACTCTGAGCACTGTATCAGCTTCATTGTTACACCTTTCACCCTTGAAATCACAGGTGTAGATGAAGAAAAAGAATGAATTTGCTCCCTCCTGAACAACTGAAGTTTTAGTTAGAAAATGCAAATTTTTTTTCCTGTTCATAGAAAAGGTCTTCTGAGAGAAAAATATATTTACCAAGACTGCTGATAATAATGATTTAATAATGAAAGACACATTTGTAAGCAAATTCAGTAACAGATGAAAGAATGACATTTTACTTGTGAAATTTGTGGTCGCTAGCCTAATTCTGTTTGACTCCTGGATTTGTACTTTTACGCATGCAAAAGTTCCATACCAGAAGTGCTTCACAGCATTTAAAGTAACTGTTTGTTGGCTTATTGATTAACTTCGCTGATTTGTCATTCCTCCTCCATAGGACCAAAGCTCTTCAAAGAACCCAGTGCTAAATCTAATAAGTATATAATTCAGAATGCGCTGGCACATTGCTGCTTGGCTGGAAAAGTAAATGAAGGTCAAAAGAAAAAGATACTGGAGGTAAGGGTATTTTTTCCCTAAAAGCATAAACATTTAAGTCAAACCCCAGTCAGGCATTAGGAAGACACTCAAGTATAAATGCAAATATCAAAAGGAATCTTCTGAGGTTATTCTGAGGTTATGCCAGCTCTTAGTGAAAGGCTTGAGTAACTTCTGTGACTTGGTTCCTGTGTAGACAGAAAGGTTCCCTAGTACTGTAGAAACAATAGCTGTCACATTGTACATACAGCACAGGAAGCTGAATTAATTGACATGTTAATTAATAGTTACTGCTTGTTTAATGTGGCAGCTTCAATGTGTAGTATTTTATAATTTGCTCACAATTTGTTTTCCCTAACCTGAAAAATAGCCATCTTATACATACAGATCTTTGGACTGGGACCTTTAGAACTAAAAACAGTGCTCTCATGAACAGAAAGAACTGAAATATATCCCTCCTAGGCTTTTCTCCAGTGTCCAAGCAGTAGGACAAATTAAGGACTTTCTACTACAGAAAGGTGCCTTCCAGCCTTTTCTCTTATGCTAGTATGCACCTTTCTGAAGGTGCACAAAATCATAAGGGTGAGACCTTGGGGACTGGTGTGTCTCCATGCTAAAGGAATAACACTGAGCCTGAGGGTTGAGAGTAACGGCACTGTTCCTTTTACCAACTGACAAATTTGACAGATTAAATAGATCAAAGAACACAGATACTTGGAATCTGGATTTAATTCCTTTTCCAGAATAAATTTCATGACAGTATTTCTTGCCCTTTCTTCTCTTCATAATTCTTCTGCATTCATGTTTAGATGCTGTCTTCTCTGTCTTCCCAGCTACTTTTGGGAAATAATGACTGAGAAATCAAGACAGCCATTTTCAGTTCAAGTAAATGCAAACATAATAACCCCCAGAAATCCCAGGAAAGAACCGCTGTAAAAAGGTCATGCTTAACCCTAGGATGCAGCATAGGTCACTTAGTAGAAGTTGTACATGTTCAGGGCACATGTCCTCTAGAAGTTGTGTTGGGTGCAATAGGAATCTGAAGATTTCAGCTAATAAAGAACCTTTGCTTAATACACTTAACTGTCTTTATGGTTTGACCAAACTTGAATGGATTTAGGGATGACTGAAACCCCATTTTAGCACTGGAGGATCTTTCAGGCACATCTAGACATATCTAAATTTCCTGTTCCAAAACTTGCAAATATTAGACCTGCTTGATGAAATGGTTCAAAGAATTTTTATCTGGTCTACAAAAAAATCTGTTAGGATATCTGTTCTTGAGTTACAGCTGAACAAGTATAGCTGAAATTGTCTAAATAAATAAGGTTTTTCTTGAGAAGGATAGCTACCTTATCAAAATTCAGCTAGGTGAAGTTTAGCAAATTCTAAAGATTGAAAATAAGGTCTTTTAGTGGACAGACTTAGACATACGTTTCAGCTCTGGTAGAAAACAAATTCAAAATGACAATGCAATGATTTTTAACGTTTTCTAACTAAAATGCAAAATTCATATTGTGAATCTTTTTCTTTCTTTCTTTTAAAGGAAATGGAAAAATCTGATGCCAATAATTTCTTAATCTTGTTCCGGGATTCAGGCTGCCAGTTCAGATCTCTGTATACATACTGCCCTGATACTGAAGAAATCAATAAATTAACGGGAATAGGTCCCAAATCTATCACAAAGAAAATGATAGAGGGACTGTATAAATACAACTCTGACAGGAAGCAATTTAGCCACATACCTGCTAAAACTTTGTCTGCCAGTGTCGATGCAATTACCATTCACAGCCATTTGTGGCAAACCAAGAGACCAGTAACTCCTAAGAAACTTTTACCCACCAAGGCATAGTAGATGGGAAAAAAATTGATTCAGAGAATTATGATAAACTTGCACTTCATCTTTACTGCCTATAGATTTCTAGTTGCCAACAAGACTCTTAGAACTTAAAACTGGACACCAAGTTCTATTACCATGTCCAACTGGAATGTAAACACAGTGTTTAGGAGTGCAGAAGATTATCGCTTAGGGGAATAATTATGAGTGATTACAAAATGTCTGACTTGTGTGGAGATTTGTATGTGCTAATACAATATATAGAGTATATTTGCTCTGTATCTTTATTAGATACACTGAAGCACTGAATGTTCCTCTTTAGTGACTCGAACTACATTTTTTTTTTACATCTGTTGCCTTATATGTTTGTATCTGTGCTTGTCCTGAAATATTTTTCTTTCACTAAAGAAACACTTCTCAATATTCTCAATACCATTGAACTTTGCATACTGACTTACAGTAAAGGCTAAATGATAAGTTGTACGTCACTGAAGAACACCTGAATGGGTCTGTTCTGCAAGATCCTTATTGTGTGCTGTAACAAAATCAAGATTCATTCCCTTGAGTATTTATAGTTCTTTTTCAATTAAATAATACTGATTTGCTTATAGACTAAACAGTAAAGGAAGAACCTTTGAACTGCTTGAAGATTCCTTCAAATGAATTATTTAACAACTCAGGGTATAGTTAGATAATGCAATTATTCCTGTTTCAGTAAGTTACTATTTGAGATGTAATGACTGACCATGTGCATGTTCATACCATTAAAATGCAAAGTAAAAGGATTTGGTAGACCTTCAAAACAGTTCAAGCAAATGTGCATTATTTGCATTGTTCCAGATGAAGAGCGAGCACACAGTCAGGTACTGCTTCTCCAAGGAAGGAATAGGAACTTGTGACACATTCAGAACTAGATCCCTGATGTTTGCCTGACAGAACACTAAAAATATTCAGAAGAATCACAGAATTCACTAAGTCATAGATCTTTCAGAAGCTGTGTATCTAATTCCCATTGATTTTAAGATCCAGGCCAATGTCTGTTCTTCCAACCTTCAGATCTGCCAGCTCAGACTTACATTAATTTCTAGGGAATAGACATCTGTAAGAATTTTCAGTGTGTCTTAATAAATCGTTTTCTTGACACAATCTAATAGATGTCTTGTGACACTTACACTTATTTTAAATACATATGGCAAAAAAGCCTAAATGACATTTCAATAAATTCATAATATGACCATTTAAAAAAAAAACTCTAGGCATATTTCAGTATTATTTATAAAGGGCTGCATTTTATTTCAAAACAGTGTTTGATTATTTTATAGATTACTATTCTGTTTCAGTGTTTGTTTCGCTTACAATTTGCTTTTAACATAGCACTGTTCTGAAAAAAAAGAAACTACAAACTTGAAACCTCCCCTAAATCTGTGGCTATTTTGATAATGTACACCAGAGGATTTGTTGGGGGAAAAAAATCTCATTCTCAGGAAAAGACTTGAATGATTTGTGATTCTGTTCTGTTTCAGTGTTGTGACAACTACATTAACATAAGACAGTATTGTACTATAAGTATGTAGTCCATTCTGTTTCATGAGGAGACTAAAACTATGTTCATATTTCTCTCACTAAACTGCTTTGAGAGAAACCATGCCTCACTACTATGATGTGCTCATTTACTTACATAAAAGATGCACAGGAATGAGATGTCATTAAGCAGTTTAGAACAGTACTTTTTTTAAATTATTATAAGGCCTTAGGCATCAATGCATCTGGGTTAAACATTTTCTCAAAAATGCTGTCAGTTTTACTGTAATTTATGTTCTTATATTTATGTATATTTGTTAAAACTGTAAAAAAAGAAAAAACACTTTAAAATACATGTTTAATATGTATGTGGCTCAAAACTATTTGTGGTTGGCTGATTCCTACTGTTTGCATGTATATCACCAGGATATGTAACTCTTATATTTCAAGTATATACATATTGTGTATATAGGATATAAATAATATTAAAAAGGGGGAAAGAGGGTTTGCACATTCTGCCTGTTAGACAGTTCCTACAAATACCATTGCAGGAACATCTTGAATAACAATATGAAACTGTGTATAATATACAGTGATTCAAGAAACCAGGAGGTTGAAATTAACTGATACACATATGGTGAATATCTTCAAAAGAAGTTTTATCATGGGAGGCTTTTTATTTCTAAAATCTGTACTATGATTTAACTGAAGATTTGCAACACCACAAAGACACATGCATCAATCTAATCAAAGTGAGCTTAAATACATGACAGGAATTCTTTGAGATATTTTAAATATATCTGAATGTATTACAAAATTTACATTTGTCAACAGGTTACAGATTTGTGCAATGTCTAAAAGTAGAATGTGAATAATGCAGTTGAAAATTTCATTGCTCGCAGTATAAAGTTTTACTTAATACAGGAAAAGTAAAGCTAGATACACTTTTCCTTTTTAAGCCTGCAAATTTTCTAATTACAGTGGATCTTTGGTTGGGATCATGTTTAAAAAAAAAAGAAAATTTAAAAAAAAAAAAGGAAGCTTCCCATAAAGGCCAGTATTTATCACTGACCTTTTCAGAACACACTGGTGCTTTCATCAGGGGTATTATTATTGTTGCTACAACTGAATTGCCAAACTCTCGTCTTAGTTTTTTGGAGCAAAATTTCATATTCTAACAGTCATCATAGCTACTGATTTTTTTTTTTTTTTTAATGTTAGTATGACTGTTAGTTTTTATTATTTGGCTGTTTAAAGCCAAATTCAGCTATTTAATTATGATTTAATGGGCACTGTTGAAAAATGTACAGTGTATTGTGTGCTTACTTGTCCACTTCTATGGAGCATAGCTTCCATATTTTTTTTTAAATGCTGTGCTGTAAAATATTGTCATTGCTACTTACGTGGTACAGTGTAGTTTTTCCTTTCATTTAAATAAAAGCATGGCACCAAAAGTACTTTTTTTTTTTGTTTTCTTGCTTACAGCTAAATATAAACTGAAACTGTAAAAAGTTCATATTAATGTTTAAATCTTGTTTCTTCTCATATTTCAGCAACGTAGAAATTGTAGGAAGTATGCACCATTTTTATTTCTCCTTTTGTTCCCTATTGTTTGTCTTAATTTCACATATAATTTAACTTACTGATGTTATCAGAGCGAGGCTGTTGAAGAATTAGCTTCTCATTTCATTCTTGAGGGCAACATGGTGTTTGTGCTCTCCTTAGAAGTGAGTTTCACAATTGCAGGTCAACTGATAAACTCCTGTACTCTGGTTAGCTTCCATTGTTCCAAAACCACAGAAACTTACTGATCAGTGTAATTGGATTGCTTCATATGGAAAGGTTTTCAAGATGAACTGAAGTCTTATCTTCATCAAGACAACTAATAAAGAACATGACTTCTAGTGAAGTAACTTGTACTTGTTAGTGGTGCAATCTTAAACAGAAATAGTATCCAAAAAATAAGGTGTCTCTTCCAGATTTGTAATTTAGCAATTTTTTCCAGTCCAAATTATGCCTTTTGGGGGGTTTTGTGTTGTCCTGCTGGGTTGCGGAGCAAGAGCAAGGACTTGCTGAAAGGGGACATGACATCACTACACTGTCAACAGGCAGACTGAATTGTTAGGCTAATTTACACAGATAAAGAATCTGAATTTCAGAGCTATTCAAAGGGCACCCTCAAGATTACAGGAAAACTGATAGTCAGGCTTTTAGTACTGAATTGAAAACTAATGTGGATAAGAATGAATGGCCTTCCCTCCTCCTGGTAAAACTGGTTATTTTTCAGCCAGCTCAATCGGTTCCCTGTATGGCATCGCAAACAGGCTGACACAAGCAAGGAATTATCTGGGAACACGAACACCCAGTTAAGCTATTTTTTCAGTGGTGAGCCCAGCTCAAAGTTTTCATCTAAAAACAGCCTTTGTACAGACAGGCTTTAGAACAGACTTAATTTTCTCTGTCCTTCAGCAAGTAACATTATACTTGAGAAATTTTACATCATGCCCTGGTTAATTTGACAGAATATGACTGTACTGTGTGTCTGAATTCATACTGAATTTGTGAATCAAAATTTGTACTGCTGTGGGATCCAGTGCAGAGATCTGGTATCACCAACTGCAGCATAATCATCTCACACTTGGAACCTAAGCTTTTGGATCAATCGCCACACAAAGTGATAGAAAAACTGGCTCTGTTTCTCAAATACAGCTGTACTTGTCAGATGTCTTTTTTCCAACAACTTAATAAATAAGTAAAGACACAGCTCTGTAAGGGCTAAACTTTTAACTACTTATACCTTTTTCAAATAGCAAATTAGCATTTCTTTGCTGCCTTGTTACTAATTTAATGAACTGAATAAGCCGTTTGAAGAATTGTGGCTATAAAGATCTATCTTAACAGCCACAGCCCTTTACATCTGCTTTTACATACTCTAAATAATTTAAAAAATTAAAACCAACAACAAAAAAAACCTATACAAATTAGACTCCAGGTCTAGATGGCAAAAAAAAAAGTCAGTATTTTGAACATGCACAGCATCTTTGTTCATTTATAAGCAATTTGTTTTTAAAAGCAAACTATTCCATTTAGGAAAAAAGATATGAAGTGTGTTCGTGTATGCATACATATAAAATGCACATATACTTTCAGACTTACTTGCTTACACACAGGTGTTAAAAGAAATACACTTTAGACAACCACAGCAAAGAGTTAAATATGGTAGTGAAGTTACTCTAGCTTATTTCCTTCTATCAAGAAAGAAAAGCAGCTACCTTGTCTATTTTACATTTGAACTACTGGTCTTCCTAGGAGGCAGGGAAGCAATATGCAATATAAACATTTAAGAGCTCAGTACAAACTCTTTGGGAGATGGAGTTTGTAACACCAGGCTTTTTATCAAATTTTTGAATTCAAGGGTAATGCTGATGGATGCTAGACAGAACTGCCTCTGATCAGAAAAGCTAATAACAACTAGGATTTCAAGAAAAGACAGAAAACAGTATAAAAGAGTTAAGCATTCCACTGAAAAATGTTATTTAAAACTTTCTTCAGACTCTTATTCAACATTACGAACAACTGGATGTATAAAATGCTCCTAAGTAATTCACTATCCATTGACAAATGTGTTAAGATACTGAAAAAACTTTCTTCACGTAACGTGTTTAGGTCTTCAGTTAATGGTATGTGAACTTTATGGACACATGCAAAGTAACATCTATAGGCATTTTTATGTCACTGTTAATCTGTTAATGGAGCTTTGCAGAAAGACTAAAAGCTAATATGAAGCTTTCCATCAATGCAGTTTTGTCTTATCCTTTCTGTATCATCACTGATCTAAATGTCTGCATTACAAGACCTGGCAAGGCCCCACAAGCCTGCAATTATTTAAATTACCTGAAGCCAGATTATACTTTGGCTCAGTATTTTTCTTGTTTAAGCTACCTGAAACTGGAGCTAGGATGCTGACATAAACAATTCTATAGATTATGCAAGAATGTTGCTGAATTGTCACCCCAAAGTTCTGGAAACCCTTTCTTGAAATGAGTGAAAACGGCTTCCAGAAGTAAAGTTTTAAATAGAAAATTTTTTTGCAACTTTTTACAAGATCATGTAAACATAATATAAGATGTAGAGAGTTGAAAGGCTCTATTATAATGACTAAAAATCAGGCGATTGGCCCATTTTTATGATGACAATACGATGCTTGGACTCCACTGGCAGATTTTGTACAAGGTTAGCACTGGGGAATAATTCTAAAATGTGTCAAGCCCTGCTAACATTGTCTGCGGCCACCTGCAACATCTGTAAAATAGTCACACAATTACTGTTTTCTTTTCTGAAGGGTTCCAGGAACAGACTGCAGTGCCCTGTCTTGTCACTAGGCAATGCAGAACTCCTCCTCTACTAATCCTGATTTTCAAGCTCTTTACAACCCACACCCAACAGCTTTGTTATTCATGGGAGTTACCTTCTTCGCAATAATGCCTAGGGAGTACAAACCAAGCCAAGACCATCCCAAAGACATCTTTCTATGCCTGAGTAAAAAGCTATGAACAACCAGAGAACAGGGTCTTTCCATCTGCCGTTTTCTGATAAGATTCTACTGTGTATTCTCTCCAAATATTTATGACTGGTATGATTGCCCTCCAAAGCAGGGGCATCAAGGAAAGTTACCTATTCTTCTGTACATCTGCCTGAGGACAGATGGTTCTTGAAATCTCTTTCCAGACTACAGGAATTTGCTCCTTCCTTGTGAAAGGCCCGACACTGAGCAGGAAACAATACTTTTAAATTCAGAATTTAACTCTTCCTTTTGGGCCTATAACTGGGGAGAAGCTTTAACTTTCATTCTGAAACTCTTGCCCTCCAGAGATAGTCTCACAGATTTGATCTCAGGACCTCCACTGAAAACAAAGCTATTGCACAAAAGATAGGTAAACCACAGTAACACCATTGTGAAATCAAGATTAAATTTAAAAGCATATGTGTGTTTACTTAGCGTTCTGTAGACGAAACAAAGTTTAAAATGGACTTTTCTTATCCAAGTGTATGTTCAGCAAAGTTATGCATGCAGCTTTGTTTAGACAAAATAAAGTCTTGTTTTTCTCACTCCCTCTGATTTATCATCTCTATTATATGTATTGGGAAAGAGTTTCATTTCTATAATTATGTTTTCTATTAATCAGTGACTCCAAAGGCAACTAAGCAACAAGTGATAGCTTTATAAGTCAGTGGAAGGATTCGGTGTTTTACTAGCGAATTGAGCTTCCTGGGATGCAATGCTGGGACTTGAGCGTCGCAGGACGAACCCTCAAGTTCCACATTCCTTGCTCATCCCTGGCAGAGTCACTGCTGTGCAGGCAGGTGGCACTCCTCGCTGGACAGCCTCCGGGACATTTCTCTGTATTCCTTTTCAGAAAGAGAGAGAGAGATAATAACATTATGATTCCCCTCTGCCGTTCAGCTGATCCTCATCAAAACAGTTTGCAAGCAGACTTGAACTCCCTGTGTTTTTTAACATTTTTAACCATCAGTGTGACACAGAATCTGGTTCAGCTTCAGTAAAATCCCTGACAACCTTCCCTGGACCTCTGATACATGTCACACATGCATAAAAAAAACCCCTAGGTCTCTGCTATGTCCTTTGTCAGAAAATTGTCACCGTCTCCATTTTGACTGCCAATGTGCTGCTGCATACACATTAGGGTTTTGTCCAAGTGCTATACTAGCATTTTAACATGATTTTCTGTATCTCATCTCACAGCTATATTTAAACGCAGAGAAAGCTTATTAACTGCTCACCGTGATAATTCTTAGATGGCATGATCTCCTGACAGTTACAAGAATGCATTAAATGTAACGAAATGTCAAACAATCTATAAACACCTCTTCATAAAATATGTGTAACATATGCATACATACATTTCTGTAAAGAATGCGTTCATTTTTCAACAGTCTCGAGAAGTGGAAGACAGCAAAAACACACTAAAAAAATCCGCGGCTGGCCTGAAACGTGGCAGCACCTCATGCGGTAATTAAAGGTGTTGCTACCAAGCCAGAAGCCTCCGCCGCATGAGCAAAGGAAATACGGTTGTGGCAGAGCGCGATGGCAGGCTGGCAATCCTAATCCACCGGGGAAGAAAGCGCATCTGCTCTGTATTGTGTGACTTTGGGGGGCACCTCGGGAAGCGCTGGAGCGGTAAGACAACGGCCCGCGTCACGCCAGCACCTGGCAGGCAGCGCTGGGAGAGCCGAGGGGCAGGAGGGGGGTCACAGGCCCCCGAGGGGCCAGGGCCGGGGCCGGGGCCGGGGCCGGGCGAGCAGCCCGCCGCACACGGCCCGCCTGCCCCGCGGGGGCCCCCCCTTGT